TTGGTTTGTGAAGATCAATTCTGGTTGTGCCAGTTACACTCTTGACTCACTTAGGCCTTCCCCTCCCCCACTCTGGAGGGTCTAGTTCAGTGAACTCCTGTTCAGGTCCACAGACTTTCCTGTTTAAGTGGTCACTTGGTTGTTCAATCTGACCCGAAATCCAAAGAGGACACCTAGGTTATCTGCCTCTTTTCTAGGCCCAAGCTCTCTCCTAGGAAGCTGTCAGAGGTAGTGCTGGATATTTGTTTCTTTACAGCCTTCTGGAGAAAAAGTATTGTGAGAGACTTAGGCTCAGAAGCTTGTCTTTGAGGGAGAGGTTTGAAGCAGCAGGATTTTTCAATACCTGTTATATCACTTCACTGAAGCACAGGATTGACATGGGATTAATTTTTAATCTGTCTAATTAACATTATTTAATAGTACTTAATATTATTTAATAAGTACAACTTACAGTTATGTAACTGCACTAAGCATTTATGGTGCTGATGGCGCCTGGTAAAAACATAGGCCCTGTTCTCAGGAACTTCCAGCCAAGCTGGAAGAGATTGACACAAAAGTGAAGTTAAAAATTAAATAGCTGTATTTTAAAACTGCAAAACACAACTTAGGGTAAAAGACTGAATTTCTCAGAAGAAAGATACATCATAGTTTCAAAATCCTAAAAGATCCTTTTTGGGGAAGTTAGTTGTTTCTCTTTCAAGGTACCAAAGTTCAAACTGGATTATTATTTTTTTTAAGATTTATGTATTTGTGCATACAAGAACAAGGGTATAGGCCAGAGGTATAGAAGTGTGAGGATTCACCAGAGACAGTGGGAAACAGAATAGGCAAATGAACTGAAATACAATGCAGAGAGGTGCAGTAACAAGTGAGGAGAGGTCTGCTGAGCCATGGGGTCAGCTCCCTGGCCATCTGGGGTCAAACTCATAGGAAGGTGGCTGGCATAGTTTGATTAACACTGTCTTAAACCACTGCACCACCTTGCTTTGGATTTAAACAAACAAACAAAAAAAACATAATCAAATTGAAAAAACAACAACAACCCTATCATTAATACAAGACACCCTAGTGAACAGGAGAAAACTTTTGCACATTTTACATCTGACAAGGGGCTAATATCCAAGATCTACAAGGAATGCATACAGCTCAACAAAAAGAAAACAAAGAAACCAGTCAAAACATGGGGGAAGTGCCAAAATGACCTACAGATGCCCAACAAGCACAAGAAAAATGTTCAGCATCTCTTGTCATCATGAAGTGTAAATCAAAACCACAGTGAGGGAGGTTCACAAAGCCTCCTCCAGTGAGAGTGGCTCCCCCTGGAGAGAGGGGAGGGAAAGGTGAAAGAAAGACACAGAAAAGAAAGAAAAGTAAAAGCAAATTATGACGAGAAAAAGCTACCTCATATACTGTCGGAGAGAGTGGAAGCCCACCCAGCCCCCATGGAAAACAGTCCTCAACACATTAAAAACACACACCGGACAATCCAGCAATCTCACTTCCAGGAATCTACCCAAGACACAGGCACACCCATGTGAAGGGATAAATGCACGGACATAGTCACTGCAGCACGGGCCACAGGTGGGAACACCCCAATGCCGTGGAGAGCAGTGTGGTAAGGTGTGGTGTTCTCTCCTCTCGGGCTTCTGCCCTCCTTCCCCGAGGTCCCCAGGCGAGAGCGCCCAGTCAGAGGCCAGTGGGAGGGAGGGACCCTGGTCGGGTGGCGGCCTTCCGGCTCAGAGTCCAGCTCCTAGAGGGGCGGGGCGGGGACCTGCCGCGCACACCCTGCCTCTCGGTTTAGCCTCACTGGGTCATGGAGCCCTCCGGGGCCGCAGCGCCTCCGGGGGCCGCGGAGGATACCGGGGTCCCAGAGCGCCCGGGGGCTGCCAGGTGCGCCGCGGTCGCGGTGCTGGGCAGCCCCGGGAGCCAGGACGCCCCCAGCGCGCGCGGC